CCTTGTTCACCTGATCTGAACCCCATTGAGAACCTGTGGTCCATCATCAAATGTGAGATTTACACGGAGGGAAAACACTACACCTCTCTGAACAGTGTCTGGGAGGCTGTGGTTGCTGCTGCACGCAATGTTGATGGTGAACAGATCAAAACACCGACAGAATCCATGGATGGCAGGCTTTTGAGTGTCCTTGCAAAGAAAGGTGGCTATATTGGTTGCTGATTTGTTTTTGTTTTGTTTTTGAATGTCAGAAATGTATATTTGTGAATTTGGAGATGTTATATTGGTTTCACTGGAAAAAATAAATAACAAATGGGTATACATTTGTTTTTTGTTAAGTTGCCTAATAATTATGCACAGTAATAGTCACCTGCACACACAGATATCCCCCTAAAATAGTTAAAACTACAAACTACAAACTACTTCCAAAAGCCCTCCATAAGCCAGAATGTCTTACTACTCATCACTGATTGAAGAAAGTAAGAACAACCTTAGGTTTCTCTTTCGCACTGTAGCCAGGCTAAATCTTTACTAAAAAAAAGCCATCTCTAGACCCAGCTGTCCTAGCTAATAATAGGCCAATCTCTAACCTTCTTTTCATATCAAAAATCCTTGAAAGAGATGTTGGCAAAAAGCTAACAGATCATCTGCAGAGGAATGACTTATTTGAAGAGTCAGATTTTGTAGGTCATCACAGCACAGAAACAGCTTTAGTGAAGGTTACAAATGATCTTCTTATGGCCTCTGACATTGGACTTGTCTCTGTGCTTGTCCTGCTAGACCTCAGTGCAGCGTTCAATACTGTCGATCATAAGATCCTACTAGAGCAATTAGAGCACACTGTAGCTATAACAGGTACTGCACTGCAGTGGTTTGTATCAGTTAATTATGGAGTTCCACAGGGTCAGTGCTATGATCAATACTGCTGTGACTGCACTGATTCCCACATAGCGAGCAGGTCAGGCCTGGATCTGGTATCAAGCTGGCACTGCTGGCTGACTTCTGCCATGATAAGACGTATGTCATCCAGATATGGGCCAGGCCTGGAATAGATGGCACTGTCTATGTGATGGCATACCACATCTGGCTCGATTGTGGTTTAGTTTATGTGGTCCAGGCTCATAGAAAATTGGCCTGGCCCAGATCAGATCTGACATCAAGCTGGCACTTCTGACTGACTGGTGACATGGCAGAGTGTATGTCAACCAGTTGCGGGCCAGGTCTGGCAATGAGGCACTATTTATGTTCCTATTTTCCTATTTTAGTTAGAAGACACAAATGCCATGTTGCAATACTATACTGCTATTGTAGCCAAACTTTTAAATACAGGTTCAACAGGTTTGTGAGTGTACTCGTCTTTGCCAGTGGGTGGCTGTAGCTCAGGCGGCTGAGCAGGTCATCTATTTATCGGAACGTTAGTGGTTCGATCCCTGACTTCTCCAGTCTGCATGTCGTGAGTGTGAATGTGTATGATTGTAGTTAGGAAGCAATCAGTTAAGAGAAAGTGTGTGGTTGGGTGAATGTGGCATGTTATATAGAGCACTTTGAGTAATCTGGGAGAGTTGAAAAATGCTATACAAGAATCAATCCATTCACTGTCTGAACAGAGTTTTGTCATGTTACTTTTTGCACTATTATGCACATATTGTTATTACATGGCTTAATTAAGGTACACATTAGGCTGACATCTGCGGACAGAGCTGAAACTGTTCTGGGCCAGCACAGGGCCAGCAGTGTGTCTGCAACTGGCCCATGGCTGCACACAACTTACACATGGGCCACATACCACAAAGAATGACGGCCCTTTTGGTGGCCCAGACCAGGGTTGCAAGAGGTAATCAACACATGGGCCAGCAAAGAACCACCAGTGTGTCTGCCACTGGCCATATGCTTGCCCATGTGTGGGCCACCTTTGGTAAACCAGATCTGGGTCACCAAAGGGCCGCCATTCTTTGTGGTATCTGGGCCATGTGTAAGCACATTGTGTTGACCAGATCCAGACCATACCAATTGCGCTATGTGGGTTGGATTGGATGAGTTGCCGGACACTGTGACATCACGTATCAGTTTTTGTGAATATGTGTGTGTGACAACCAAGACCTTTTGCATATACAATAACAATTAAAGACATAGCAGACGATTATGTCAGGTTTGCGATAGATAGACTCTCACCTCTCACCCACCCCTCCCCAGAGACATTGTTTCAGATATTGACCACCAACCACAGCTCTACCCCCTCCCCCCTAACCACCCAATTCAGACTCAACGACCGCCATCACACCTCTCACCCCCCTTTCCTCCTCCCTGAAACTCAGAATACACACTCAGGATGTAAGCTGATTTTTTCAGAAGCAGAAGCTCAGGAAAGCCCTGGGACCAGATGGTGTTTCACCCTCCTGCCTCAGAACATGGGCTGAACAGCTGGCTCCCATCTTTACCCACATCTTCATCAGATCCCAAGAGCTGTGTGAAGTTCCATTCTGCTTCAAACACTCCACCATCATCCGGTTCCCCAAGAATCCCACCATTACAGGACTGA